GAGAGAGAGAGAGTGAGAGAGTGAGTGTGTGTGTGTGTTTTAGAAATAGTGCCTTGCTGTGTTGCCCAGGAAGGACTCCAAATCCTGGGCTCATGTGATCCTGATCCTCCCTCCCCAGCCTCCAGAGTAGCTGGGACTAGAGGCGAGTGCCACTTTACCTTCAGGATATTTTTATTAACTGGATTTCTAATATTAGTCAACTGAATAAACAATTGCCTTGTGCTTCATTTTCTTGACTTGGGAGAGAGTAGAGGAGTACATAATTCAATGAGGACCAGAAAGAAGAGTTTCTTGTGGAGAGCAATTTTTATTTGATTTTTAATTTTTTCAGTTTCACATGCTTGCTGTTTATCATCTAGTTCTCATCTTGTTTATATTTTCAAAAGAATGGTGATCCTCAGTACTCTTGTTTGGGGAGTCAGGGTTCAATGACGGTGGCTGATGTAGCAATGTTCATGAAAAGGGGGCAAAGGGATCAGAAAGGACCCCAAAATGCTTCTGCTCCTCAACCCTCCTCTTTTGGTCACTGCTCCTGAGCCCTCTGTACTGCCCTCCACCCTCCTCCCGTGTTGGATTAGATTTATAACAGCTGCCGTGGACATGGTTGCCTAAATCTGTGGAATGTTTTGCTAAACGTTGCTTGTGAAATAGTCCACATTCAGTTTGTAACTCCCGTTTTTTTTTTAAACCTGTTCTCTGTCCTTAGTCTTTTTTTCACTTGATCACTTTATGATTTTGCACTTTGACATCTTACAGATTCATTAAGAACTTCTACTCCAAGCCCTAGAGCTTTATTTAACATGATGATTAGCCAAACTGTTATTCTGTTTGAGCTAAGTGATGACAATGTATTTGATTGGAGCCTTGTAATTGTTATTTTTAAATCAAAGTAATGGATTATGATCTCAGAATGAGAACATGATCCAAAAGAATAATAATAATTAGAACAGCAACCACTTAGAAGAAAATAAACACCCCATCTTGGACCACAGGCCCCATGTCCTGGGCACCCCTACCTGTCATGTCTTGTCTCCTACCCCATGCCCCCCTTCACCCTAGCATAGCCTTATTGTGGCCTTCCAGTTCCTGGTTTTCAACCTTGGGAATTAAATGTGGTGTTCTCTCTACCTGGGGGCTCCTCCACTGATGTTTCTCTTGGCTGGTTCCTTCTGGTCTTAACCAAAGTCTCACTTCCTTATTGAGGCCTTCCCTGGCCACAATGACTGAAGTCCTCCCCCCTCCACCTGTTCAACATGTACCTCCTCATCTTTCACAGCATGCTATTTGTTTCCTTAAACATTAGGAAACCTAAGTTGTGTCTCCTTGGTACTTGTCTGTCTTTCCCCCTGGGCGCTAAGCTCCATGAGGGTGAAGAGTATACCTGTCTCATTCCCCACCACAGTCTCAGTGCCATCTTGGCACCTGGCATGAAGGGGGTGCTCAATGCATGTCTGCAGTTGAATGAGTGGAGTATTCTGAAGTTTCAGCTTTTTCCTGAGCCCATATCAAGATGTTCTATCTACTTCCCGAGTCTATTGTGATAGCATATATGATCTTTCAGTGGTTGAATTTAACCAAGCTCTGCTGACTTTTCTTAGGCATATGAAGGATCAGAATAAGAAGGTGGCCAACCTCAAGCACAATCAACAGTTGGAAAAAAAGAAGAATGCTCAGTTACTGGAAGAAGTTCGCAGGCGAGAAGATAGCATGGTAGACAACTCACAGCATTTGCAGGTAAGCTCAGGCTACTCTTCTTAATACCTAAACAATTAAAGACAAACTCTCTTGAAAATGTAGCCATTGGTGAGGGAAAATATGAACAGAACCAGTGGACTTGTTTTTGAGTCTAGCACTAACAATAAACTCCCAGGGATCCCAATAGGTCTTTCCCAATGTGGAGCATCATGTTCAAAATGGTGCCCAAGAAAAACTGGTTACAGTGGAACCTAGAAATGCTGCACAGAGCCTCTTGATTCCTGCATCTCACCTTAAAAGGTAAGGGCTGCATTTATATAGTTGGCAAGACGTTTAAATATAGAAATGTTTTGCTTTTCTATTTACATGTAAGCTGTTTGGGGGTTAGTAAAAGGAAAATGTGTGTGTCTCATCACAGAAGGTATTTGGAAAAGGATGCATTCAGCTAATCTCAGACAGTTTACAAAACTGGTTTTGTTTTGCTCAAGACTCTGAGGCTCTGAGACACATCATTAGTCTGTCTTGTCTGTGAATATAGTTATCTCTCAGTGGATAGTCCTATCTCAGAAACCAACCGACCAACTGAAAACACCAATTTTTCCTCATTACCCATCCTTATTTTTGGCCAGGGAGCTCTTCCCATGTGTTCAATAAAACATTCAAGCTAAAACAGGGCATTTGCTTTGAAGTTTCTTTATTTATTCCAGTGTGCCTTTAAACAGAGAAGTTCAAGCTGGCTGGAGTTCAGGTTAAATTTTGCTTATTAATTAGTGTCTTTTTCTAGTTATATATTAGGTTTCCTCCTTGGAGATAGGAGAAGTTAGATAATTTCAATATGTGCTCATAGTTCATCTTTTTAATTGGCCAAAAGAGAAATAAGTAATTATTCCAGAGTTGGAAATATAAGAGAATACTTTGCATAGAACATGGCACATGAGGGTTGCTTAGTTAACATTAGTTTTTTTTTTCTTTGTGTTTTTTAGACAGGTCTTCTGGTGTTCTTTGAGCAAGCCCCTTTTAAATCCATGGCTGATTTGGAGTAGTTGCTGAATAGTACAGCACTAGGGTCAGGTTCTCAGGGCAGATAACTTATTTGAGACTACAGCTTCCTCATTGCTCTTGGAAAATTATGTCTGAGGGTTTGGGTTCTTAAGTTTCTCCATCTGTCATCAGAGATGTTAGATTAGAGCCCAAGGACTGAGGTAGTCATAATTAAAATTTGTAGGACATTTTACTCTCTTGCTAGGCATATACTCTCATTTATTTCTCACATCAATATTAGTGATTTTACATATATTAAAACTAGAGTCTCAGAAAAGTTATGAAGTTACACCCTCATAGAAGGTGAAGGTAGATTTGATTCCAGGTCTTCTTTCTTTCAAGAAACTAATGTAGAAGTATGTGCCATTTATTGAGTTTCAATATACTGGACATTGTAGCTGTTATGTCATTTAATTCCTTTGTCAACTGGGTTAGCCGGGACTCTTATAAGCGCAAGAAAAAAGAGCACAACTCAATCTGAACTAAGTAAAAAAGAAGAATATCTGTTGGCTCAATTCATTGAAAAGACCAGGGGTGGACTTTTGACCTGATTGGATTCAGGTATTCAAACAATTGTATCACGAATCTGTTTCCATCTTCCTCACAGATATGCTTTACTCTTTTGTGGCCTGTCCTCAGGTATGCTTTACTCTTTTGTGGCCAACAACAGCCAGACTAAATGCTAGGAATGCAGTCACCCTGGGAGGAGGAGAGTAGCTCTTTTTTAGTAGTTGTAGCAAAAGTTCAAGGATAGAATGTATAAATAGGCCAGACCAGAGGACAGGTCATTTGATCCCCTGAAGCCCAGGGGAAAGGAGTCAGCCAAATCTCACCCAAATCTCACCCAAATCTCATAGGTTTAGAGTGTGGACAGGTGACTTCCTACAAGAAAGAAGTGAGTTCTGTAACTGGAAGAGGTTCTGGGCAGTAAAAACGACATAGATCCCTAAAGCCATCATGTGGGGTTGATGAACTATTTTTATCCCATTTTTATATGAGAAAAAGGAGGCTTCAAGGGATCAAATGACTTCACCAGTATTACGGAGCTGAGTAGCAGAGCCAGGACTTAAATCTAGATTTGAGTATCTTTATAAGATAAGAATTCTTAAGAATTAGGAAGACAAGAAAACAGTAAAGTTGCAGAGAGTATTCTGTAGATCCGATGGGATTTGAGATAAATGAGTTTGACCTGAGAGAGCAGAGCAGTAGGGAAGGCCAGGCAAGTGAACTGTCAGAAAAGGTACAGAGGATGGACAGAGCAAAGTACAGCCAGGGCACAAAACCTAACAGGCCAGTTGATTGTAGTGGTAGTTTTTAGTGAGTTAAGTGCTATTATCTTTCTTTAAGTGATTCTGGAACTAGAGTACCTGGGTTTCATTTCAAGCTTTAAAATCTACCAGCTGAGTATTGCTGAGAAGTTTCCTTAACCTTTTTGAACCTCAGTTTCCTCATCTGTACAAGAGGAATAATAATTGCATCTACTCTAGAGTTGTGAGGGTTAAAGAGTCAATGCATATAGGGAATTTAGAATTGTACTTGGCACAGATGATGCTCAAAATAAGTGTTAATTGTTAACTTTTGTTATAATGACAAGGACAAGGTGAAAACAATTTAAAAAATAGTTGCACAGGTATTTATGCAGTTCTATTTTGATATGCAGTGAGCATCAAAGTTTTTGCTTTTTCAATAGATAGTAGTTTCTCTTCTTTTCTAATGACACATCCAGTTATAAAAATTTATGTCTTGTTTTGGCCCATGAACTTTTGTGTAGCAATATTTTCATAAGGGGCCTCAATAACTACCTCATAGACCTATTCATAAAAGATAGCATGGTCTGGAATTGCTTAGTTGCATTCCTGACCACCCCAAATAAAGGATAGCATTTGAAATGCAATAAAATGCAATCACAATTAATTTTGATGAAAATGTCTCTGGTTAAGGTTAATAGAGAGTGAACCTCCCACTTTCCTGGATTGTTCAGCAGATGTGCTCAGATGTAGTAATTGCTGCCTTCCGAAAACAGGACTTTCTGGGAGCACTTGATTTTTAAAATATTGCTGTTTTTTAAAAGCACTTCTTCTTGTTTATAAGTGAGCCTGTTAAGCTTGTAAAGTGTTAGTCAAACAGAATTTGGCTTGGTTGGTTGGGTGGGTGGGTGGGTGTCGGTTGTGAAATTGGCACCTGCTAAATTTGATTTTTTCTCCATTGATGTTTAATAATGATTGGATGCCTTGATTTCATGACTTTGACCAAAGACACAGGTATTATAGCAATAAAAGCATCAGGTAGAATATTGCCTGTAAAAATAATAGCTGTTGGATCAAGCCTTAAAGAAGAGCACAGACAGATTCAACTAGTTGGTATTAAAATTGGAGACAAAATTGAATGTAGATTGAGTGACCACGCTATTTATTGTTCAGACTAGGACATAAGGCAGAGGCAAAACCTGGGCCACCTCAGTCAAATCTAGATATAGTAATAGCATGCTAGAAAACATTTCACAAATCTGACCTTCTCTAGTTCTTTAGTGTAGAGTTTTATGACAGGAATTGCAAATTCAAATGCCTACAGAATCTAGGTCTTTAGCATAAGAATTAGGCTTGCATGTAAGAAAAATGATGATGTTTGGTTTATTCAGCCTGTCTTTTATTTTTTATTTTTGGTAGAGATGTATCAGTTAGCGATTGCCATAATAATGCTGTGTAACAAATCATCGCCAAACTGGGTGATTTAAAAATGTTTATTCTCATAGATTTGTAGGTTGATTGACTGGCTCAGCAGCTGTTGGGCCTAGCTGAGTACTTCTGCTACTCACTGCATACCTGCGGTGTGGCTGGGGCAGATCTGTTTCATTTGTTCATTCTGAGGCTCAGGTTAAAGAGGAATCAGCAATCCAGGGAAAACTCATCTAATGACAGTAGCCGAGGAACAAGAGAACAAACAACAGCGTGTGAGATTTCATAAGGCCTAGTCTTGAATTGATATTATGATTTCTATCCCTTGCATTGGCCAAATCAAAGGACATGTCTGAATTAAGGATTGGAAAAGTGCATTCTATTCACAAAGAGAATATTGTACAGGGGCTAGTACAAGGAGAGGTGAAGAACTGAAACCAATTAATCTATCAAAAGAGGCAAGATTTGGAGAAATATTTCTGTATTATAAGAAAAACAACAGCATATGCATAATGAAAAGTGTCAACTGTGGTTGACCTTAGTGTGGATATAATTGAGAGTGGTGGAAAGCTGTAGGAAACTTGAGAGCCTATGCCTTATCTAAGGGAGTAGGGGTCACTAGACTCTGGTTGTACATTGCTATAAAGGTGGGCTTAGTTTGTGGGAGCTCTGATTATCCAAAATAAGTCATAAAATGCAATTTTTATGTGAAATCTATGGATTTTAGAAAGTTGGCTCAATTTTTAAAATATTCTTTTGATCCAAGGAAACACATCTGCACATGAGTTGACCATTAGCTTGTGGCCCCTGTTGCACAGCCTGGCACTCTGATCTCACTGGGTTTACATGGTGGAAATAAAGTGACTAAAATACACCCTGACTAGCTTAACTTGACCCATTGAAAAGAGGTAGCAGTTTAGCATTTGTCCTGAGTCCTCTTTCCATTTGAAAATGACTTGAATTATTATTTCTCAGAGGAAATCACCCACAATCTAAAGAAATAAAGAGTGTTCTTTGTTTAGCATCTTAAATAACTTTTTTGAGCATTGGCAAGAAGAACAGGGAGAGAAGGATACAGAGCCATGGAGCTGAACTGGCCAGTGTTCAAATACTGGCCTTTATTAGTATTATTTTAGGGCCTTGAGTAAGGCAGAGAATCTCTCTGACCCTTTCTTTTTTCATCTGTAAATGGGGATTGCAATCTCTACCTCCCTGGGTGGGTTTAATAAAATAAGGTTTGTAAAAGAACCTAGCACAGTGCCTGACCTATGTGAACTTCAGTTATTAGAGTTTTCTCCCAGAGAGACCGATAATGAGCTTTTA